CATATTCCAGGTGTCTGCCGTGCTCTTCCGTTCGTTGGTCCGTCCGTCTGTGCGTCCTACCATTCATCTGTCTGTCCGTCTGTCCGCCCGTCCGTCGGTGGCGTCAGCTCTATCTGTTCGAATACCTCCAACGAACACGCTCCAGTGAGAGTGGAATATGCTAAGGTCGTTCGTTGCCGTTGGAGTGCACAACTCGTCGAGGCGGACCACAGAACATGGTTTCTCCGGGAATGCGACACGATTAACGGATCCGGCAGATACGCGTTGAATGAGTCTTCGAGAAACCGATCGAACGAATGTTCTCCGTGTGATCGGCTTGCTCATTGCTCAACAATGATCCACGGACCGGACTCGAGACTTTCGGCTTGGACTTTGAAATCGCACCGTTGGACTATTTGACTTTAAGGTGGCTCTAATGCGAGGGCTGGGCGAATAAGCAAATGCCACGCGGAGCGTATTCCATGGACGCATCAAGAAAGAGCAGAGAGAACGAGGAAGAAGTACTGGTGGCACGATTCGCTGTCCCCGGGGAAGCGTCAGTTTTGTCAACTTTGTGCACGTGAGGAACTCCGATAACGGTTCGCCGTTTTCGCACTCAGATCCACGATCAGCTCAACCGCGTGTGAGGAGAACGAGGGGTCCACTACGAAAGTGTCTGCAATCATCCGAAGGCTCGTTCGAATCATTAGAGATCCCACGGAACTGTGGAGAAGCAAATCGGGAAAGAGCTGGGGAGAAAAAACGGAACAGAGACCGAGCCGGAAAAAAATAAAGAGCTAAGAAAAGAATGGAAATTATGAATAGGGTCTCGATTTCGCGGTGAAGCCTCAGTCACATTATTTGAGTGCGAGCCTGGTCATCCGATTCCTTTCGCGTTCCAAAGAGAATTCCGATATCCTCCGCAACTCCGAAACCTCGTTCGCGGCCCCCACTGAGAAAGAACAGCTTTCGTTGTCAACGCCGCCGCCGTCGCTCTGGAAAGCAGCCGCTCAGCCGCTGCGGTGCAAGGCGTCGTTGTGGTAGTAGTGACGAGGCGGTGGTGACTTCGCATCTATCCATTTACGTATGGCGCTGGGTCGCTTGTCCAACACACAGAAGAAATCTTCGTTGAATTTTGTTGTTGTTGTTGTTATTGTTGATGCTCTTGCGGCGGCGTAGGTTGCTGTATTCCGAGCCATGGCAAACGCCTTTGGATGCTTGGCAAGCTTGGCTCTGCGTCTGTCGCTTTGACGAGCAGGTAGTCTGGCTGACGGCGGGCGTAAGAACGGGCGGGCAAACGGACGTTTTCAGTTTCTGACTGGTTGGCAAGCTGACTGACTGACTCAATGATTCGCCGGCTTGTTGATTGGGTGGTGTGCGTCTCCCCCGTCCCTCACTTTCTTCTTCTTGGTTTCATTCGTGCATCCGACGCTCCAAAGACGCTCCATCCGTCCGGCAATAGCGGCAGAAACCACCGTCGTCGTTCGGTTGTGGTAGCGGCAGAAGCGGTCGAAGACGACAACGACGAAGACCGAGAGAAGAGAGGGAACAGACATGCCGAGCTTAGACGCGTCTCCCGTCGCTCGCTTTGCTTCTCCGTCTTCTTCCTTTTTTTTCGTTCGTCGATTGTGGACGACCACAACGTCGACGTAGTGGTTGTTGTCGTTGTTGTCGCTGTTTCTCCTCCTGCCGATTCTTCAGCTGCTGAAGATGTCTCCGCTGCCGAAGCAAAGGGGTTTTCTCTGCGTCCGTTCTTCAGTCAGTCTCTCCTGCCATCGGTGTTGTCTCCGTCCGTTGCTTCGTCGCCACTAACTCGCTCCTCCACTCGCGAGCCTGTCGCTTGCTTGGATTGTTGATTGCCGGTGGCTACGCTGGTCCCAGGCGTCTGCCTGTCTGTCTGAACTCCTGCTCACCCGCTCGCTCCGTCGCGGTGACGAAGAAGAAGAAGAGGAGGAAATTTAAAAGAAAACAGGGAACGAACACTTGTGCTCTTTTCGGCAGCCAGTCAGTCAATTCGTCACTCACGTTGAACAACAGCATCTAAGCAAGAGTGACGAAGACTCGAGGAATCCCTTCAGAATCGCTCGGTTGACTTCCTGAATAGCTGAATGCGTGTTCGTCCGCTAGAATTTCCATCCAGCCGCGCTTCGGGAAATTACATGCCGTAGGAATCCCGCTGGGATTCCGCCGGTAGATTCTCCCGGTTTGAGCACGAGCTCGGATCTTGATGACTTTCGGTCGGCCAGCGGAGTTATAACCGCTCGTCAAGCCTTTCCGGAGCTCTATTGCGAATTCACTAGAGCACGTGGATCGAAAAAGGAGCAATCGCGAAAAAAGCCACCCGCGCGTAAGAGCAAGCGGCCCTTCGACCGTGAGCGCTGTTTCTCTGCGGGGCGGAGTGCGAATTGAAGTCTCTTGGGACAAGCAAGCAGGCTGCTGTTTTTCCCTCGCTCCCCCTCCCCCCCCCCTCCTCCCCCCCTCCTCCATGCAGCCTCCATGCCCCCCTCTCGATGCCACCAGCCACGCACCGTTCGAACGGGTAGGAAGGGAGGAGAGCAGGGGGACAGGAAACCTTTCAACCAGTCGGATTGCAGTTTCTGCCCGAGGAGTGCGCCCGAGATATAGTACAAGTCCTTTTTCCTTCTCCCCCGCCGTGCTGCTTCCCCTCTCCGTTCTTACCGACACCGTTGAAGTGAGATGCTTGGTAAGGGACTCCGTTGCTGAGCCGAAGGCAGCCGGAGTGACAACAATGGCGTCACGCTCTTTTGTTGTTGCTGCTTCTGCTGCCAGTCAGTCAGTCACTCAGAGAAAGCAAGCTGGCGGCATACGGAGCGCGAGTCTGGGCAGGTGGAAAGGCAAGGTGTGGGTCGAGGAGCATCTCGGGAGTCTTAACCCCTCCTACAGCGCGCCGTGAGTTGTTGAGGCATAAGGGGCTGCTCACGCATCGGGGGATCTTCACACAGATGTTTCTGATCTCCGAGGCGCACATAGAGAAGCTACGCGGCCGGCTACCTGGAGTGCGTTTCCCCACCTGTTTCCGACCGTTTGAGACGCTGTGTCCTGGCCGCGGTCCGAGCCCTCAGACCTGCGCGATTGAGAGGTCTCCGTGAATAATAATTATCCTCGGGGGCGCGAAGACCTCGCAAATTTCCAGCATCACCTCCTCATGATCTGCATACGGAAGGGAGTATGTCAGACCGTGCCCAGGTCGATGGGGATTAATGTTTCCCTGTCAGTCGGAGACACCGACGGCCTCATGAGCGTGGGACCTCCTCATCAATTCTTTTTCCGATCATTATCGGGAGATATAATGGAATCGACACGAATTTGGAAAACTCCTCTACGGGCAGGAGTTCGCCGATCTCGCAGGGGAAACATATGCGCCCCTTGCGAGAACATATGCATGCCATATCTCTAGACGTAGCGAAGCTTCCGCGAACGCTGGATACTTTCAAACTGAGGGCGTTTTGACGTGTCCGACTTGTCGAATGTCCCCTGACACGCTCTACCTGAACTCTGTGACACATCGGGCTCGGGGGACACGCCTACATCGCCGGACGGATGCAGTCGCTGCTGCCATAGTCGTAATGAGAGACGAGTATAAAGCACTCTCGTGTTCATCGTCGCTGTGGCTGTTGTTGTTTATGGCGGACCGTGCCTTCGAATGGCTCCTCTGAATTAGTGCGCCCACAGGAACCTTTGATGGCTTGGGAAAACATTGGATGGGTTGAGGGGGGCGCGGGATGGGTGGACATACCCGTCAAGCCGCGTTTCACTCTCTCCCGCGGCTCCAGCTTACACCGTCACAAACACTGATATCACATCGTATGACTCACAATGAGTGTGGGACGACACTCGTGAGTCGGGAAACCTTCGAAAAGAAACAGCTTCTCTCGCTTTCCTCATCCTCTGTCGGCTAGTCCGCTCTCGATTTTTCTCTCTCCGCTGTTAGGATGAGTGGGAAACAGGCCGCCGAGATGATTTTGAAGTTTGTTCAAGTTGCCTGCTAGTTAGCTATCTGAGAAGAGCATGGTGACTACGGGGATTCGGAGAGGAGAACAAGGGGGTGAAAGTCCCGTACTTGTCCCGAGGACGCCCTCCCTCACAAAGTCGTAGGTTCGCTCGAATTGAGGGGTGAACGAGTTGTGGTCGTCAGGCCTGAAGCTGTTCGAGCTGGAGGCTGTCGGAGGAGAGGGAACGACACCGAGGGGACGGGGAGCGATCTGTGATTGTGCCTCCTGTGAGGCTTGCGTTGAGCTGCTCTGCAGAGGCGCTGAGGATGTCCGAATAGAATTCCCGAATGCGAGGCGAAGATGGCCTTTTTCCCGCCGGCACACAAGCACGTCAAGATTCGGATACCTAACTCCAATCAGTTTCACATTTTACTCCCAGACTCCCTCGCGGTTCATTCGAGCTCGAGAGAAATTCGGAGCTTCTCTGTTTTGAGTCCCGCGAGCTTTGGACGTCCGTGAAATATCTCAAATCTGAAATATAAAATACATGGAAAGAAATTTCGACGGTTTTCGAGGAGTCGAGGAGCGTCCCGAGCTACGGAAGCACGCGAGAGCCTCAGTATACCTGGGCTCTTCTCTGCTCTGACCTCTTCAGAGGTCGCATCGTGAAGGGAAACTCAGAATTCGTTGGACCCTCTCGCGCTCACAGACGGTAATTAATTTGAATATTCTCTCTTGCAGGCAGTGATGGACTCGGTTCGAGATTTCCGGCTCCAAACAACTCACAGGTGAAAGCTGGAACGCGTCGTCGTCCTCGTTGTCGTCTGTAGTTTTCGTCATTGCTGGAGTAGCGGAGCTGCGACAGCAATCTCTCCCTCGAGATTTCCGAACCGATCCGAAAGGCTGGAGTGACATCTGACAGGGAGCGAGTCACCGGTCGGCTAGTCAGTGAGTCGTAGTCGTCGTCGTCGTCGTCGTGGTCAGGATACGCCACTCAGCCCGCTGGCTTCGCCTCCAGCACCTAGCGCTCTCCCGTGGGGAGCCGCTGCCCCTCCTGGCCTCCTTCCGCCTATGGACAAGAAGAAGAATCCTTTAAAGAGGCCCCGTGTTGATCAAGCACCCGTTTTGTCACAATCTGTTCCTCGTCCGCTCTCCAACGGTCCAGGAGCTATGCATGCCCGACCGCTCGTCGCTCTTCTCGATGGCCGAGACTGCTCGGTCGAGATGCCCATTCTCAAAGATGTCGCAACGGTAGCGTTTTGCGACGCTCAAAGCACTCAGGAAATCCACGAAAAAGTCCTCAACGAAGCCGTCGGCGCCCTCATGTGGCACACGATCACGCTGACGAAAGAGGATCTCGAGAAGTTCAAGACGTTGAAGATCATCGTCCGCATTGGCTCCGGGATCGATAACGTCGACTACAAAGCGGCCGGTGAGCTCGGCATCGCCGTATGTAACGTGCCCGGCTACGGTGTCGAAGAAGTGGCCGACTCGACGATGTGCCACATACTCAACCTCTATCGGAGGACCTTCTGGTTGGCCAACATGGTGCGGGAGGGCAAGAAGTTCCAGGGTCCCGAGCAGGTTCGAGAAGCTGCTCACGGCTGCGCACGGATCCGCGGCGACACTCTCGGAATCGTCGGTCTGGGTCGGGTCGGGACCGCGGTAGCGCTCCGCGCGAAAGCGTTCGGCTTCACGGTCATTTTCTACGACCCGTACAAACCGGACGGCGAGGACAAGAGCCTCGGCCTGACTCGCATGTACACACTACAGGAACTGCTGTTCCAGAGTGACTGCGTCTCTCTTCATTGCACACTCAACGAACACAATCATCATCTCATCAACGACTACACCATCAAACAGATGAGACCCGGTAAGTTCGTCTCGAAAGGCGTAGAACTCCGAGCTCCACGGTGCCCGAGTCCATCCATTGTCGTAGCGGCGGTGTTCTCTCATTTCGTGTATCACACAACTCGACCAGAGAAGTTGCAGCTAGGAGTTTCACAGCGCCCCGGGGCTCGGAAGCCCCCCGTCCCAGGGGGGGGAAGGGGAAGGGGGACAAGAAACAGAAAGATTCCCCCGTGTAAGGGGCTCGACGGGGAGGAGGGCAACCTGAGCAGCTTGAACTCGGGGAAGGACTAGTGCGGTCGAATGAAAGAGTTTGCAGCGATGCAACAATTCTTTGCGATTTGCTCTCCCCCGAAGTTGGAGCGCGACCCACGCAGCACTACAGCAGACGGGGTACCTCTGCGAGCGTCGCATCCGTTATCGACACTATGTAGATATTCGCGCATTTAGATTCACGAATCCTCAATCGGCAGCAGATGCACTGCGGAGTTGTAGATGATGGAGGAGCGAGCAAAAGACTTATTCCTCTCGAGTAGCAAGAGGTCACAATGAATATTTCGAGTTGGTCTACCATTTCGCCGAATCCAAAGTTCCGCATTCTATTCTCAGCCGCGGCCCTACAATTTATAGTTCGTGGAATTATGGTTGCTTCGTGAAGAATCTCGCGGTCGAAAGAGACCGATCTTAAGCCCCCTTGGACCTCTCATCTGGGAAGCGAAATCAAATTCCTTTCTCGAATTTCCAGGCGCTTTCTTGGTGAACACAGCCAGAGGCGGCCTCGTCGATGAGACCGCGCTCGGAGCCGCTTTGAAAGAAGGACGAATTCGTGCGGCGGCCCTCGACGTCCACGAGAACGAGCCTTTTAACGCTATGTCAGGTCAGAATCTTCGCTTGCGTGCTGGATAGCTACTCATTCACTCGCAATCGTTTTAGAAAAATCATTTCCATGGGCGATATCGTGTACCTGCTCATCTGAGATCACGGGAGCGAGTTCCCCTCTAGACTCGTCTGTCGAGTTAATCCCTCCGACCCGGAGTCAATCATATTGCCATTCCGCTCATCTTTGTTCTCTCTCTTCCCCGGGTCACACCCACAGGTTCATCTTCTACGGGACCTCTCAAGGACGCACCAAACCTGATCTGCACGCCACACGCCGCTTGGTACTCGGATGCGTCATGCAGTGAATTGCGTGAAATGGCGGCCACCGAGATCAGACGTGCGATCGTCGGTCGAATTCCTGACTCACTGCGCAACTGTGTCAACAAGGAGTACTTCCCGCAGTCGGGAGGCCCCGGAGGCCCCCCACCGACTTACGAGCCCCCAACAGGCCTCAACGGCATGTCGCCTGCGACTCCACCTGCGGTCGCGTCCGCGGGTCCCCCGTCGGGCGTCGCTCCAAATTTGCTGCTCATACAAGCAGCTGTCGCCCAAGCTCAACAAGCGGCCGGTAGTACTACACCCAACAACTGCATGTAAACTCCAGAAAAAAATTAAGACAAAAGTTCCGCAGCCTCGCCGAGGACGCGGATGAACTATCTTTTTTCGAGTCGAAGAATTCTAGAGACCAACACTCATAATACAATGAAGGGATACGATTCATGAAGGAAGGACGGATCGACGTTGAGTAAGATGAAATGAAATCATTGTAGACACTTTGACAACACAACATTACGCCGGAATCACACATCGGCAGGACGAGAGGAAAACTCACACAACGACGGGAACACGAAAACACACACGAGAACACGGAGCATAGGAATACGTCGGTATCGCGTCCACTGCTATGGTTGCCGTCAAACGGTGAGGAGTGGACGGATTTTATTAAGATCAACAATTGCGATTCGATGAAAATAACCTATTGATTATTGTTTTAGTATCTTTATTGTTGGACGAAAGAATGCGCCAATCTTCACCATTATTCAATACGAAGCGTCAAAATTGACAAGTGCCGACCGACGATTCAAATCGAGCAAGACAGCTGGCGGGCTGGTGAACGAAAGAGCGACGAATCTGGCAGGCGGAAGAGAAGCCAATAAAGACCCAACTTACAGTTGAACAAAGAAAGAGACACAACAACCTACCAAGGTGACAAGAACTCGCTTTCGGCGTACAGGATTCACGCCCGTGGAGACCAGGTCGAAGGGTGGAAAGAAAATCGTGGAAAACAAGCGACGATAGAGAAATTCGTTGTCAAAGATCGCAGTGGCACCGGATCCGGTTTCTAGTATTTGTACATATAATAAGGGCAGAAGCTATACGCAGCTCGGGTTATGCCTTCTCTATCTCCCTTTCTATCATCAGCGTTTATGTTTCTTCTGGAATTCGTACATTATCGGTCTCGACATCGTTTCCATCCAATCTACCGGTAGGACCCGTTCTCGTCCTGTGCGGCAAAACCGAAACCTCGGAATTGGTATTGGGCTTTTTATACGGAGGTTGTTGCCCCCGTCCCCGAGTCTCCATAATTTCTCAGCCCATGATGCTTGTCTCACCACCCACGAACACACAGACACGTACACACACAGAAACAGACAGAGAAACAAAGCCTATATGTGCTTCTATTTGCCTCCTGGAATTATGACGATGAATGTAGATATTACATACATACCGGCGACTATACTAGAAACTTTTCCCCTGTATCTTCAAGAGCAACTCTATACTCTTCCGGGCTCTCCGAGAATACGGCTCACAAACGAAGCAACGTGCAGAAACACACACTCACAGAGTAAGGAAGAAACAAACAGACCTACACTCGGAATATAGGCGCGGTCATCATCAATCCTGGAATTACATGGAAGACAATTTGCCTGGCCGAACAAAGACATCCACGAAGGGAAGAAGTTGGACGAGTGGGGACTACTCGATTCCCGTTCCAAACGGTTCCATCGCAGCGTCGCTTCGCAACCGGTGTGCTCCTGAGCCTCGAGGTTGAAATCGTGGCCTTGAGTCCCACCGCTGCGTCGGAAACCACCTCGTGGACGCGAATGCAAATACACGTCCGGGTTGTTAGGAAACAGGAACAAAGCAACTTGAAGAGGATAAGGGTCTGTCATATTCATTTAGTTAGTCACAGGAGAATCGCGCTTAAGTTTGAATTGGAGTCGAAGCGTCACGGAAAAACGCGTGCATAAAAGAACCTACCCAGCTGACGTACTGCGTTCGGACATGCACTAACCCGCCCTCATCAAATCATAATTCAAACTTCGCATACGACCACATACTTCTCCTTGAATAATTATTCGATCCGTTGATGAATAAATCAAACGATCTTTTTATTCAAAAATCGTTTATTCACTGATTCCGGTGGGTCCCCGTCCTGTCTTCGATCTCAGAGAGAGCATGTCGAATTTTCCCAACCGAGCGAGCATCAATACTCAACTCCAGTAGCGCATAAACCCGACCGCGATAGAGGGGACTTCTCCCGAGAATAGAGGTTCCCGTCCCGATACTCCGGCGATCAGGTCCCGATGTCCCGGTGGCCGGATCCCGGTGTCCTCCTTCGATCCCTCACCATGCAAACTTGGAGCTGTCGAATCGAAAACTCGCGATCATTCCGGAGGGCGTCGAGGTTATATACGTCGAAACTGATTCCTCGTGTCCCTGAATTCTGTGACCATCGGAATCGGCGGTGTTGGAGTCTCCCGGACGGATACGCGCGGAATGCGAGAGCGGGAAACGCTGCAGAATGCCGACAAGGGCACCGGACGATTCCGAGCCGTCGGTGATGATTACGCTGAGGAAATGCCCAATCAATTCACAGACACGAATCGAACTGAGTCGAAAATTCTCCCTCCTATGTAACCATTCGGCAAACGTCGGACATCAGAGAAAGAAGCAGTCGCCGTGTATAAACATTATTATTCGATGCAGAGTTAGACGAACAAAATAGAGAAACAACAAGAACAAGTGAGGCTGACAACGGTAAACATGATGGGATGAAAATAAACAAATCTTGAGTATTTTAAAACACCCGTGTGTTCGCTCGTCCCACGTCGAGGACATGATGCCCGCTCGCCCCGGTGTTCTTCGCGACGTTACGGAGAGCTCGCAAGAGCGGTCTTCCCCCTATGCTTGCACTCGGGGGTCTTTTTCTGAGAATGTCACGCGACGCTTCGAGAGACTGTCACGAGAAAGGACTCGGACAACTCGAAACCAAGCCTCGGACAAGCTCGCCTTATACGCAATCATGAACGACCAGTTCAGTTGATTGAAGTCTGTTTCGCAACGAAAGCGCGACTCTTTATTCGAAACTTCCCCGCAATTTCTTCCGCAGACGATATCAACAGATAATGATCGACTCAAGACCTTAAGTGCGGACCTCGACGCTCGGCATACCCAAGAAAACCTGTAGAATCGAGACGTTCAGTTGAGCAGAGAGGGTCAATGGAAAAATGTTCACGTTGGGTTTATTGACGTCAGCATAAGATGACTCCTCGTCTCTCACCTTTTTCATCTCCCGTCGGGAACCATTTTACATTTTCTATTTTCGCGGGATGTGGAAGGATGGTTCTCGGGCTTCCGGGCTCAGATTTTAATGCCGTGCTTCTGGATGTATTTCATTCGAGCGTTCTCTATCAGTCGTGTTTTCCGCTCGTGGTACGATTGGAAACGCTCTTGAGCCGTCGAACCGAAGCTACTGGCTGATGTGTTGAAGGTCACCTGTACGTCCTTCTGTTGACCAAGAAAGGCGGGAAGGTCAGCTAGAGGAGACAGACAATTGCGCTTCCCCAGGGAGAAAACAACAATTCACGGGACTCACCGCTGTTTTCAAGAGTTCCTGGATGGGCATCGTTTGATTCGATGGTTCCCCCCGAGCTTCGACCGTGGGACGTTTCTCGGGGATATAGCTGACAACTCCGTCGATAATGCGGCTGATTGTTGAATCGACACTGTTGGTTTCCTGTAGATCTTGCATGATAACGTGCAGGGGTACGTCCGGCAGCACCTCCTTCACCTGATTCGCCATATGAACCAAGTACAGGTTACTTCGGGCGTTAGCCTCTTGACTCCGTCTGTGCACCTGGAGGCGCTCTCGATGCAGCCGTTTGACGAGTTCCTGCTTCTCGGCTTTCGTGTATGGAGTCGCGCGTACGCCTAATTGTGCAGCTAACATTTCTGCAACTCTTTGAGAAAATTCCTCGACCGTCTCCTCACGGCCGCGACTCACAGCTGGGAGTCGACAGATGTGGAAAGTTGTCCACGGACAAAACAAGAGCCATACGAGATCGGCGAACCAACTCGAGTCGAGGGTCGCGATCGACAAATCCCGGAAGGGCGACGATCTCGACGCTTTGATCGCAACAGCCTGAACTGGGACGTCGAGCTCGAACGGCCACGTCTGTGTGAACCTCATGAGAGCCGTGCCATTGCTTATTGCGGCTTCGGGGAAACCGAGCAATGTCACGTTCTGCTGCGACTGGATGAAGCTTTTTAGCGATACAACGTTCGGCTCCTGGGGTGACGAGAACGATTTATAAATATGGCCCCAGTTCAAAACACAGGGTATGTCCCAAACGGAGGGCTGCAACAATGAGTTATATAATTAATTACCGACTAGCTGCGTCTCCCATGGACCCGGGCTCGAACGCGCGAAATATTCACCTTTGAATCGAGAGTGCATAGACGTCTTTTGGTAGGTACTCACCAGAACGCAGGGTTGCAGGAGGTCCAGCATCCAATGGTCGACAATCGAGACATGGTTTGCAACAAAGACTTTCACCTCGGGATCCCGGTTTTTCTCCTCTTCAATCACAACGAGGCCCAGGATGGTGCACATTGCACGGACAATGTAACTGGAGAATATAGGTTTCCATGATATCAAAAGAATGATCTTCTGGATTTCCCCATTGATCAGCAGCCCGGATTCAGACAGATTCGAAACCATTTGTCTGTTTCGTTCGTCAGGTAGATCGAGGCCGGATCGGGGATCTCGATTGATGTTTTCAGAAGAACAGGAAACCGACTTATCGGAAAAAGTGAAAACTGGTTCTGTAGCCACAACGCTTGGTCGACGCTTACCATCGAATCACAGAAGTCTTTGGCAGCAAGAGGGTGACGAGGAATGTGTGAAAGCAGATGAAAACTCGCAAAAATCCTAGGACGACTCCCAGGGGCATGTACAGGCATAGCAGGGTCAGTTGATTGGGGATTCTTTCCAGATGAAAGAGAGTGTCTATCGAAGGTAACGGGTTCGCGGAAGGTCCTGGTGCCTGCGTACCTCGACTCGACGAGGCGTCGTCAGAAGACATCTCACATCGGTATAAATAACACTGGAAGTCGCACGAATGCCTTAGACTGTGAGCTCAGCCCGGACAGAGCGGGTAAGGATCATGGGAGACCATCGATTTGGGTGTCAGATCTCGAGAAAACAGCGGAATCGTTCCTCCGTCCGTCTCCCCGGATGATGTCGCACCGTCGGAACCGAGGACGGTCCGATTCTCTCCTCGACGGGTGCGATAAAACCGATTCGTCCCTCAAGAGATAGCGGATATCTCGCTCCATTGCTAGCAGGCTCGCGACTCGCTTCAACGAGCTGGGGGACACAGTTAGATCCAGAATATTCGCTCCCACTATGGCAAATCCACTAATCGGGGAGCGGTTCCGGGAAACGGGCTGCCCCATATCACCGGAGACGTCAGACAAGTCTAAAAATCGGAGATCTCGATTCTTGATCGAAATTAGAAAATCGCGGAGAATCCAAACCGAGAGTAAAATGCAGTTTTTGTCGCAACAACTTGTACAACAGGTGTGTCCACAATTGATCCACGGGATAGACCCATGCACGGAGCGATCAACTCTCGTTCCTCAATACAAGGGCTTTCGTAGAATGCGACAAGCTCACAAAGATCCGAAGAAACCGAAAGAACAAGGTAAATCCGTGGAGGCTCGCAGATATAGAACGAGATATTCTGAAAGTTCCAGATTTCTGTCGCACACCATAGATCACATCGATGCAGATGCAAATGAACGATGTCGACGGTGGCGATAGCAGCGTTCCCGAGAGCTAACCTTTTATACGATGGAGCGAAGGAGACTCCGGAAGGGGGCCTGAACCTCGGCCTAGCAAACAGATTCTACAGCATTTGCCAGAATTGCCCAATTCAGCTGTTCGAAGGCCACTCGACAAACACACGGCTCCAACAACACGAAGACCAGCCAGCGATCTGGTCGTCGTCGGGAGATTGTTGACTCTCACCTCTGTTTTCCTCGTAGCAGTAGCGGCAGCAGTTTTCGGTGGAGTTTTCCCCTCACAACTTCGTTAATTTCCGACAGGTGGCTGCATTCATTTGGCGGGAATTGTTCGTTTTGCTCGCTGCTATGCTATAGGGCACAGGAGTTTTGGCGACTACTACTGTCCAGAACAACACTGTTTTCAAAGAAGAATCACATTTGGACTCCCCATTCGGAACGCACACGTATCGACACGCCCATAACTTTGAGGTCGGATCTGGGTTTCGCTTCGAGTCGAGTTTCGTCTGATCAGGCGTGTGCGGCGGAACTTTGGCCGAGATCAGATGGCTCGTCTTCGGATCGAACATCCGAGGAGTTCGATTGGTCGAATTTTCTAACTGTGTCTCGCGAGCGCACTCGCACTGAACTACGCGTTTCGGAGTTCTTCCGCGTTCGACCTGCGGCGGCTGCGGCGACTGCCAATGAGCTGCTCCCCCTCCTCCATCCTTGGCAGACCATCGAGCTGAGCGGAGGAGGGAGAAGGATATTACAAATGCTTGAAGCGGGCTCCGTCGGGAGTCTTTTGAGAGTTTTTTTTTGGCGCGAGAAATCTCTTTCTTCGCCGGCCGCATCCAAGAATCTCTCGACAAATGTTTAGCCGGGTCCTCCACTTCCCTCCGATACCCGATTGGAAACTAGATTAGAAATTCGAGGAACCGTTCACGGCTACCACCCTGATCGCTGAATCTCGTGCTCAGCTCGAATCTTCTCCATCCAAGGCTCTAAACCCAAAACTTTTTCGGGCTGATCCACACAGCCAAGGTTTAACGTCCCGGGTACTGTTATTCACATTGCTTCCTCTAAACCCACACGTCACCGAAGAGTTCATAAGTATTCCCTTCATGACAGAGTGAAGGGTCCATGTGCCTTCACTGGAACTTCCAGCACATCCGGTGCAGCGACGGGCTGCGTGCCACGATTTCCCGAAGAATTCCTCCGCTCCGAGCATGGATGCCCTCTGGCATCGGAACAGAGCGTACTCTACGGCACTCTCGACGGCAACTAGGTCGTGCCTTCGACTCCAAACACAGAGTGTATAAGATCGCGGGTTATAGCGACACACGCTAGTCAGCTTGGCTCGTAAGACCCGGATCGCCATCGATGAAAACGCACGAATAGAAGACGGAGAGTCTCTCTCCTTCTGAACCAGATGGAATGAGCAACCACGTATTGCCGTATCAGGAAGGGACGCAACGAAATATTTGAAGAGGCCCAATTCGAAGTCGGCGGTAATTGCCAGGGGAGGAGAGGCGGGCCAAGCTATGTAAATGAATTCGATCATGCGAGTGTATGAAGCTTGACCCGTATCCGGTACGGGGGCATAGCAGATAGGGATGACGAAAGTCCCTCGCACGGCTAGGATTGCATCGCTCTGGTGGAAACAAGGCAGCGCCAAACTATCGAAACGTTCCGTCCACGAAGATCTTCTGCAGAAAGACTATTCATCCAACGACCGACTCTCGCGACGAGAAGAATTTTTTGTTCATCTCCTTCTCCTAGAGATGCGAAGGGATTGACATGAGTGAATTAGCTCCATCGACATTCAATTTAAATTCAGAATCAGAGACTTATCGCTCGCTCTACCGGCTAGAGAGGAAAGGCTCCTCTGTCGCTTATGAGGAATTTTTCGAATTTTCCGGGCTGAATTTCAAAAAGTGTGTGTACATCGGGCTATTCAGAAACGATCTTGAGGTGCGGTCGTTGGTCTCATGAACATTTCACGGGTGCGGCATTTTGATCTCGAAAGGGTGTCTGAATTCGGCAGAATCTATTAGCCAGCTTGCGTTGACTTGTCCGGCGTTCATTTCTCTATTTCCGACTTCGCGAACCATCGGGCTTTCCATCATGAAACCTACGAGCTTCTTTTTCTAGAGTCACCCTGGAGTCATGACGCTCAACCCTAACCTGGTCGGAATCTCAATGAGTATGGTTTCGGCTCCTTGAGCTCGGAAAATTGAGCGGGGTTGTCGATTCTCCGGGAGATGGATCTCCCGAAGATTGCCGTCACGTCATTCGGTGTGAAACATGTTCTGCCATCTCAATGCGTGGACAGGGACGGATTTTACGAACGTTCGGGACGATCGGAAGCTGAGAAAGATCCCAAGATCGAGTGGAGCAGAAACTTGAGCAATTACTTCGCAAATCCCGTCTCTCCGTATTTTCGTGCTGCAAAATGAAAATATCCTCTGCGGGAGGCTCTCTGGTTCGCGGCTCTGGAGGTGAGCGATCTCGAGTTTCTATCACCAGAAGACTGACTGGAGTATAATTGGCACAAATCGGAGTCGTCCGCATCGCACTTCAAGATTTCGGAGTCGTCCTTCAATCTCGATCTGATTCGAATTCGGAATTGCAGAGCCTCCGAGCAGCCGTCGACGAATCATCAACAGCCCCAGCGGCTCTCACATTTTCGAAATCGCCCCGAGCAGCCGCACTGGAATTCGAAAGAATTCGAGGGCTTCGAAGCGAAGTCCAATCATTTTGAGATGGTCGTTTCGGGGGGCGGGTGGCGGAGGCTAAGCGAGACGAGGCTCAACGACTCTTCTTCCGAAAGAGAGATTTCTGGTCTCGTGGCAGGCTCACTCTCAAAAAAGCGACCTCCGAGCATCCGAGTCATTCATCGGAGATTCGGCCTACCCCACGGACTCAGCTCCCTCAACTGTGAAAATGCGTCACCCGAATCCCTACCGCGGTCTACCAGTCCCGACGAACGACCTCCTCGACGAGCTGATAGCGTATTTGGACTCTTTGGCAGAGGAAGAGGAGGAGCCTCCTCCTCAAGGAGGCAGCCTCGCGCTCCTGGATGACGATATCTTGGAGCGAATCCTTCAGCCACACGAGTACGCCTGGATACTCGCAATTCCATTGGACCCGTTCCCTCTCCAAGAGCTCCCGTCGTTGGAAGGCTCGAGGCTGGCCGGTAGAAAGCGCTCGGATTCGTTGGTACTCGAAGACCGGCCAGCGAAGCGAGGGAAGATCTTCATTGACCTCACGCGGGACGAAGACGAGGCTGGACACCCGGGACTTGCTCCGACCCCGGTTCCGCAAGTCTGAGGCTCTTGATAAATCATCCTCTGGGCGGCTACGGAGCTTCTGATGAGAATAAATTCCGCCAGAGATGGTCCGTAAATCATCGTCAACATCACCACGACCCCGGAAGCTCTGCGGCGAGAAGTCCAAGAATAAATTATCATTATCTCTCATTCCCGATTTTAAAGAAATACATCCTCAAATTCTCGATGGAGCAGAACGATTATTATTCCAGCCTGAAATGATTGAGATCTGTCCTCAACAGGAGGAGGAGGCTTCCCGAAGTCGAAGCCCTCGTGGAGGTCGTGGATATCACGTCCAGTCGAGTTCCTTCGCCTCGACCGCTGATATGCACGAGGAGAAGCCTGATATATTCTATCGCAGGCTTTCGAGAATCGTGATCAAGGGCGAAATATGCGGATTTTGCGAGCCTTCGACTGCTCCTATCGCCTCGATGGGATTTAGATCAGGATATTTTCGAATCCTGATTCGATAGAATCCCACGACTTCCCGTTCAGTAGGGAACTAGATGCTCCCCGATCGCGGCTGGCGCACGCAGCGCTCAACATTGGGCAGGGACGTGAAACCTAGCAGAGAGAGAGAGTTAGGCAAAACGCGCTAGTTCCGTTGACACATCAGAACCGGAACTGCACGTCATGGTGTGTCAACTGAAGCCGACAGGACTGCCGATGCTGGTGGGACTTCGGACGCCCCCGATCCGGAGGACTATACTAGTTCACTGATCCTCTGCTGGGTTATAGAGCTTATCTGGACGGCCGCGAACGGGGGAAGGAAAGATAGGGGACGAGATCCTCCTGTTCACAGTCAATGATGATCGGCTCCCCGATAGCGGACCTGTGCTTCGATGAAGAATTACTTTGCCTATGCTGATGTCTCCTTCCGATCCTACTGTCGGAAACTTCGAGACCCAAGCGCCGAGTCTGCGTAACGGGAATCGGTCGGTCATGGGCAGAAACATGTTTTTCAGCAGGATTCGGAAATCATCGAGAACATCTTCGGAGAAGCCGCGGGATCCGGGACGCCGTTCGTCACCCCGTCGCACAACGCTGACGTCGAGGCGGTCAATACAGATCCGGACGTGATCGCTGGCGCGCTCAAAGTGCGCCCACGTAGCGAGGCGGAAACGACATTCTTGAGCATTCAGGGAGCAATGCCGCTCCCCCCCTTAAGGACTAGGTGAGTGATTAGACTTTCTTTTGTCGCTGGTCTCAAGTCGAATTCGTAGTCCAGAACGTCCTCGTCACCCTGAAGCCCCACCTAGGGCCCATGCCGAACATTTGGTAGCTTCCGGAGAAATTTCGTCCCCCTTAGTCGAGCATGATCGATCGCGTTCGACGCGATCCTCGAGCTGGCTCAGGAGATCACCTCGAGACAGATTTCGATATCTGCCGGGAGATCGAGGAGAATCTCTATTCATCAGGATCTTGCAAATCATAGGATTCTCCAATGAATATATGGGACCTTTGAGTTCTTCACATTTTGAGGAGACCGTGAATTCCGAAGGACCTCGGTTTCCCTTTGGCCTTTAGCCCTCTCTTGCGGGGCTTCACAGAAGACCGTTGAAGGAAAGGATCCTAATTTAAACACAATCTCCTAGCGGGGAGCTAAAGAGTGGACGGGTATGTTCCGGTTTCCCTCTGATGTGGGCCTCGAGCCTCGAACCAATCAAGGCCACTCACATGGGACAAATCGAGTCCGCTGGACCCTGATCGATCGGGTGAAGACGTTTTGACGCAGGACGAGGAAACGAAGATCTCGGTCACACGTCCGGCCTCGACAGCCGAGCTCAGCCAGGAAATCATTCTACATATTATGGGGGAATTACGAAGGTGGTAGGAATGAGCATTTATTTTAGTATGGAGCAGCCTTTCAAAGAAATATACAAAACAGCAGCGCCGGTGGCACCGTTTCAATATTG